ACTTATCTATCATCTCCAGTGTAAGAGTTGCAACAAATGGGCTGATTAAATCTAAAACAATAGCAGACAAATGAAGATAATGGAAAATTTAGCTTTGTTTTCAGACAAGTTGCAGTTTCTGCAGTATTATTATTACAGGAATTAATTGCAATGAGTAATTATTTCCTAGCTTGTTTTCTCTGAGGAACATCTAAAACTAGACTTTTTTCCTCAAATTCATAATTTGAAATAATTCAGCCACCTTTTGTAAAACAAGTTTGCTCCTTAAGTTGCTATTCAATAATCAAGATTGAAGTTTCTTCTTAAATCATCCTGACAGCAGTACTAGAAGGCAAGCATGTGAATGCCCAAGTCTCCTAGCATTGCTGACAATAAAACCTGAGTGCTTACACTGTCTATAAACCAAGCCAATATTTTAATGGCCAAATCAGAATCCTATGCACATTTTAACAGACACATACTGCAAATGCTTTTGTCTGGCTCATAAAAAAAACCACTAGTCTATACAAGCTCTCATATATGCATCCTAAAAGTACATTTCTACAAGATTAACTCCATAAATTTAGTTTCTCTAAAAATATATTACTGCATGTTCAAGAATTAATGAAATTAATGAAACAAACCATAAATGTAAGATTAGGTCCCTTAATTTCAGGCCATGACTTCATAAAGGTCTCTATAACACTGGTATATGAGACATCATGTTCACTTTTATTTTCATTTGTCCATAGAAACTTAATATCTTGTTGCCTGCAACAGGGTGGTTCAGGACAATGACTCAGAAAATACTGACCCTCACATTCCAAGTCAGTGGTTATGATTTCTAATACTAGTTTGGTGGCCTAGGAAATCATCATAGTTTCAGTTTGATTCACAGTGTGTACCTATCCACAGAATGTAGCCAAATCAAAAAGCAGCACATTATCAATATGGGAAACATCTAGTCACCATGTAAGGCCACTTCTATTCCACTTATGCCCTCGTATTCTTAGAAGTGGTTCACTCAAGACAGTGGTCTGATCCAGAGGTGGGAAATGATGATAAAACTGAGATGCAAAGTTTACGTGTCCTGGGAGTGATGGGCAGAGCTAATACCTTAACTCACAAGCTAACACTGGTGCTATAAAGAAAGCCTTGTTTTATTTCAAAGACTCAACTAAAATATAAAGGCCAAGGCAAGTATCTTGCCTTACAAATTTATTTGTTCCACATTTATCTTTATTTCCACATAACTGGAAAGAACAACAGCTTTGTACTGAACAAGGCTTTGAAGGGAAATTATTCATGTCTTTAAGGGCAGCACCGCCACCTGGTGTTACAGATGAGCCAATTTAGGTCCTGTGAATCTTTCTAACAAAAAAATGCAATTTCCTACCTCACCTGCATTCTGCCATCCCCTGGGATTCTAATTTCCTTTGTACTTCATTTTTATTAAATGGAATCCAAATTACTTCTAGGCAGCCATCTTCCTACCAACAAGCAATTTTCAAATTCCAAATTAACACATTTTCAATTCCTATCTTCTTGAACAAAAGCATTTTGGTACACAAAATACAGTCTTGCTCTTTCCCATACATTTTTCAACCGTAAAGTCTGCGAAACACATTTATACCTGGATTCTAAACTGAGGTTACAGTGAAGACAACAAAGCATGTCTTACATGGACACAGTAAATGAGTCTGTGTCTGGGACAGCACATCACTACAGCAGAGAAATGGAACTGACTTGAAATAAAAAAATATTTCTTTTGCCCTTAAAAGTATCTTCACAACATAGTTTTGCATAACAGCAGTTGTAAAACAACGTCTGAAACACAGAAATAAAAGAGCATTTCCTCAACACGAGGAACTCACTCTAGCTATAATCACTAGTTAGTACAGGCAAGACTCTATGTACAACCAGACAATTGACAGCTACAGAGCAGACGTCTGCAGGGCTGTCTCCTCTCTGAAAATGCTAATACAGCTGACACCATGCTAACTTGTTTTCTCTTTTCTGCAAACACAAAATGAAAATGCTAAGCAGTTCTTTGAAAATCATGGAATAGACATCTGCTCTGGCTCAAGACCATCAGCAGAGGAGCAGCAAGAACTGTGCCTGCCAAACAGACACAGAAGGTCTTGCCAGGCCTGGAGAAAGCCAAACATGGAGACTGTACCAGCACCAGCACAACGGTTTTTTTCTATAGTGGATTTCTATTGGCTATGACACTTGCCAAAATAAGAACTCATTTTCACCTGGAGGTGTGACTAGTTCAAATGCATCGCAGGGCACAAATCTGTGGCTCCAGCCCAAAATACATGATATGAGCAGTCCTATTGACAGCAAAGTGCTACAAGGTATTAATAGTCTCTGCAGGATCCAAGCTACATACATAAGGACCCGCTGGCTGTTTCTCATCCATGTAGAGCCTAATTCCCACCTAAATGCTCATAGGCAAATAAAGGAAACAAATTAGTGCATAAAAACCAGACTGATTATTTTGTCTGTCCCCCTGCCTGACAAAAGCCCCTGAATTTCAGCTGATGATTCTACTTACAGCATCATAAACTGTGTTGCAAATAACAACCACAGTTCAGGGGCCCAGTAATGAAAACAGACTATAATTATGGAGTCTCCAAATGTATGGTAGGTACACAACAAAATAAAAAAAAAAATCCATCTTTAGCATGGAAAAATGCTTTACAAGATGCTTTGTCTTTAATGTAGTCACCAAAAAGACAGTGGAATGTCATTTCAAGTATAATCTAGACAAATAATTTAGCCATGAAATTTGCACAGCAGATCTCAGTACCATGTGTAGATACAGTTTAACATATAACTTCTTGAAAATAAGAAGTTTAGCTTCATTCCCCCCTCTTCCTAAAAGAAAATAATTTATAATTCAAGAAGAAACTGCAAAACCCTGAAGAAAATTTCCCCTTTAAAAAAGTCTTTAAATATGATTGTCCAGTAATACTTCTAGAATAGCTTTTTTTTCACACTGCAGTACTGTTAAAACAATGTCAATGAAGACATCAGTCAGAGACAGTCACACACTTTGGATTTTGTGAAAGAAAAAAAATAGCTAGTAGAAACTGAACATTAAGTAAACAGGCAAATTCTAACTTGTTTCCGTACTACAGCTTTGAATACATATGACAAATTTTTAAGATGTTGAGTGCTTTTTGATGAAGAAGCTCAGAAGCATATTGCCTCATACCCTTTTTTATTTTGAAGGTCTTACAGATGGCAAGGTAACCAAAAATGAGCTCAGGCTGCAATTAATTTGACAAAGTGGAGACAAGAAACCAACTTTTCTTACCCAGGCTATGCTCCTCTTTTTTCCTCTTTTCCCATTTTGAGCTATCCACATAGGCTGAAGAAAGAAGAGATCTTCGACCTAATGAAGAGAGAAAACACTATGTAAGCCGGGTTGCTTACACAGCTCTACACAAACATTTTATTAGATACCACCTTCTTTTGTCGTATTTGCTAAGTGGAATGCATTAACTGTCTTTATGTCAGTAACTACTAACTACTACTATCTAACAATTCAGATTCTTTATATGTGAATCAACTATTACATTGTAATATTTAAAACTGAAAAGCTTTCCCCAAGAGTCTTTTTTTTAAGCATGAAACATGTATTTCCAAACCTAAACTCCGTACTCAAGAAAATAACAAATTTGTAAAGGTAGAAAAAACCCTCAATAATACAAGCAACTTCTTTGTGCCCACAGACTCTTTATATCAAATGCTAGCAATTAGCTAAATGTAGGTTAAAAGCATAAGCAAAAAAAAAAAAAAAAACCACACAAACATGCTTTTCTGCTGTTGCTGAAGGCTATTTCCAGCTACAAAGGCATGTCTCACTGAAAATACTTTCATTTTTATAATTGCCAATCTTCCACCTCCTATGAACTGCAGACTCACTAAAATGTTAGTGAAACCTCTTTCCAAACACTTTGTACCACAAAAACTGCTCAAGATGCTGTGCTAGCTTTTGAAACAAAATAGAAAATGCTTCAGCTGGAAGAATTTGTGTACCAGTCAGAGAGATGATAAGGTCTTGCAAATGCATGAGGAACACCTGGATAAAACTCATTGAAGGAAGATACAGAAATACATGCAGAAGGTTGCAGGAATTAACATTATGAAATAAGAATATTTTAAAAATAGATACTACAATGCTACACAGAAGTCTTAGCAACTACTTCAAAGCCTTTATGTAAACATCTTACTCCTAGCACTAAAAAGTTTCATTTTGGTTGTTAAACAATTTTTCCTTCTTATCACCTTTCTGACACACAACTATACCCACGCATCCTGTACTGAACACCTCATGAAACTATCATCAAAAAGATTCAGAACACAGAATTCCACAGTCAGACTACAAAATTATGTACAACACTTGACCAAACAGTTAGAAAATAATCATTTTAAAAGGCATTTCTGGTTGGTTGGTGGAGCTTCCTTTAGCAGTCTCCTTCCTTATGTTGACAGAAGAGGCACACAAAAGATTCAGGAGTTTTGGTGTGGCAGGCTTGGGGTCTTTTATTGCCGTTTTTTTCTTTCAGCATAAACAAAAAGTCATTCATTCATTCATTCATTCATTCATTCACAGCTAGGGATGCCACGAGCAAGCTCGAGGCATTCCAGGCCTTTTCCGCAGCACAGGCCCCGCGTGTGCCAGGCCCGGAGCCAGGGGGCCCGGCTGGGCGGCGCGGCTGCAGCTACCGGGACGCGGCACGGAGACACGCGTGCTCGGCGAGGGCGGAAAGCGCAGCAGGCACCCACCGCCGGCACACTGTGCCCAGCCTTACTGGGCTCAGTCCTTCCCCAAGGTCAGCTCTTTGGCTTTTCCAAAACACCAGCCTTGGTGGCGCCTCCGTCACCACCGGTACCAGTTTTCCTGAACACGCACTGCCGCGGGTTTGGCGGCCTCCCGTACAATTCCGCGTGGCTTGCCCTAGTCCAAAAAGGCAGGTACTACCATGTCGAACTATGAAATCGGCTCGGGGAATTACCAGTTAAAAAGCAAATTGCGAACAGTCTCCTGCACTACATACTAGCCATTAAACGTCTTCTGAGCTATCTCCAAATCCACACGTGCACACAGATGAAGAGGCAAAGGTGAGTGAAGTCCCTACGCAGCACCCCGTCCCTGCTCATGCTCCCCACCGCAGCCGGCGGCAACCACGGCGGCCAGCGCCGCGCCCCCCGCCCCGCCAGCAGCGCACCGACCTGGGGCCGCGCCGAGGGCGCTCCCGCTGCAGAGCACGGCGCGCCGGAGCACGGAAGCGGCCATGGCGCCGAGGCCGGAGGAGGCGGGCGGCGGAGCGGAGGGGTTGCGAGCGCCCCGCCCCGCGGGCTCGGCCGGGAGATGGCGGCGGTGCTGGCGGGCGGCTCCGGGCGGGCGGCGCGGGAGGCGGCGCGGCGCTCGGCGGTCCGCCCGCCTGCCTCAGGCGGCTGGGGCTGGGCGCCCGCAGGTACCGCGGCTTGTACGGCGGGGGTGGGTGCCGGGATGCCCGGCCGGGGCGCGGGGCTGCCCGCTGTCTGCGGAGCTCCCGGAGTACTGCAGCTCCCGGCAGGCCCGCCCGCCGCTGCCGGCTGTGTGCCTGACGGGAGCTGTAGTTCCTGACCGGGTGCCCCGCTCGGCGCCGGGTGTTGTGGCGGGGAGCGCCGCGGATTGTGCTGCGGTGGACAGGCCGAGCTGGCGCGGCAGAGGTGCAGCCCGGGGAGAGACGGCGTCACAGAATCGGTGCAGCAGTCACATAAGGGCCTAGCTTGGAAGGGACCTTAAATATCATCGACTGCGAACACCGTGCCGTTGAGACACCTCCCACTAGACCACGTTGCTCTGAGTCGCAGCCTGGCCCTTAGCCTGTCCAGGAATGCTAGATCCACAGCTTCTCTGAGCAGTTTTTCCACTGTCTTACCACCCTACCAGTAAAGAATTTCTTCTTCATCTCTTTCCTAAACCTATTCTCTAATCAAAGCCTTTGACTCTAGTAGAAGGCTATTCCCACGTGTCTTAGCAGTACATGCCCCTGCCTACATTCTGCTCCTGCTCTCTTGCAGGCCCCACTGTAAGGGTGCAGTAAGGTCACCCCAGAGGTTAGTGTTAGTCAGCATATCCCCTGCTTGTTACTGTCAGGATATGACATTGAAAAACAAAACAAAAAAACCCACCAAAAAACAAACAAACAAAAAAACCCAAAAAAACCCCAACAAACAAATAAACATGCAGATTCATAAATGCGTATCTTTTCTGGGAGGATGACAGCCTTATGCATACCCTGGGATTCAGAGATAAGGAAAAAGGGCTGCATGGAAAACAGGTGTATGGCACCATGCTCCCCAGGCCCTGGCAGGGCTCCTGCCGTGCTGTGCCAGCAGAGCTGAAAGTTTCACTCAGGTTACACCTCTGCTATACCCCTCAGAGACATGGAGACCCCTCTATCTTGAATGGAGTTCTGCCCATCCCCTTCAGGGACTGGCCATGTAGAGGATTGCAGTGTGCCTGACGCTAAGCAGTTTGGTTGGTTCTCTGGGATAGTCTGCACCACCTGCACATGCCAGCTCTCATATCCGTCTCCCTCTTTTTTCCTTGGCAGTCCCTTTGGTTTTGAAACATTTCTGTAACACACTAAGTATGTGTCTAAGGAAGCAGTACAATTCAGCTAACTGAATTCAAGAAAAATAAAATTCTGCTGCCCTAATCTCTCTATTGACACTGACAACTGATTGTCCATGATATGTGATGCACTAGTTCCACCCCAGGCACCAGCATGATTTCTTCACCAGCTTTGGAGAGGCCCATGACAAGAATGGTCTTTCAGTGCTAGACCAGCAGAGGTCTGTGGGAAGGAAATGGCAGTGTAATACAGGTCAATTTCATGCTGAGTAAAATGTATTTGTTTACCCATTGGAACTGTTTCAATTAAATTTAATGGATAAATGTGCCATTTAATGGATTTTTTTCTTCAGGTTTTATGAAGCGTGTCATTATCATGCTTCACTTGCTTAGAAAACAAGTGGTTTTATTTACATGGCCAGTTACGTTTTCCTAGGGATATGCAGAATGAAAATACGCAACCTAACTCAGTTCAATACTTGCTCTTGTGCTTTCATGGTTAGAATAATTCCTTATAAGCTAAAACCTTAAAATATTAGATTGTAACAGTGTAATCTGTTATTGTGACTCTCTGTTACTAAATCAGTGGTTTCAAATAAAAATCCTCTGGACACCTGTTTTTGTGACAGCAAAAACTTGTCAAATAGCTTTTGCATGATGCTTGTTTTAAAGCAGCTTGCAACACAGTACAGTTAAAGTCAGCACCCAAAGTTAATTTTGACGTTCTAGACTCAGTGACTGTCTTACCTCTGACATCTGTACAGCAGCAGAACATTACTAGGTCTCCAGGGTGTTACTACAATCCAAATAATACACTTGTTTTTATAAATTAAAAAAATAAGCTTTTTGTGACTTCCTACTGCATTGGGAGCTGCCAGAATGTTTCATTTTATAGTAGCAAGGACAGCACTTGTGGGGTAAGCAAGTTGTGACACTAATAAACTGTGGAAAAACAAAGGAAAACAGGACAAGTCATTATAAAAGTGTAAAGGAGGGAGCAGGAATTTTGTGCAGAATCTTCTTGTACCTTGGCTTAATGGAGAGGAATGTAGCCCCTACATTTTCTTTTGCACATCCAATAACTAGATACTTCTTCATCCTTGTATGCATAAGCTCTGGAAAGCTGTGACATATTATTTGGGTTGTTTTGTCAGTGATGTGAGTAACTGCAGTTTTTGCAGTCTGTTTTTTAGTGTCCTATCCCAATGGTCGGGCATCACACAGTTGTCCGTATTTCATACGTGCTAGGTTCTGTACTATTAAATCATACAGTGTAACATAAAACCTGACCTTCCTCTTTTTTTCTTATGGCAGGGAAGCGGTATCTGCTAACAGAAGAAGATATAAAGTTACAAGAATTTCAGCAGATGAAGGTGGTGATTAGAAATGAGCTTCATGGCAATAAAGGTATACTATTTATTTCACCACTTTAGCATGAGTCTTAGGAAACAGGCAGTCAAAGTCATAATAATATCATCAATTCACCTCATTTAAAGAAACAAATTATGTCTTCCTCCTGCAAATATTTTGTACTTAACATTGCTGGAAGATCTGAGGCTTTGTAGAATGAAATATAGTATTAGTTATGCTGTGTTGAGAAGCTTTCATGTTTGTAAGGTGTTTACGCAAGACCTGAAATGTTTGTGCCCTCACGTTTCACACATTGTAAGATAGTCTAATAGAAAAAACTATTTCAGTCTACAAACCTTGCTTCAAGTATAATATCAGCACAGAAAGTTAACACAAAGCTAAATAGTTACCTTACTATCCAGACAAGGGCTTTCACAGTAAATTTTTTTTAATTTACTCCCTAAATTTTGTCAGCATCTTTTAATTTTTTTTTTTGCCTAATGTGAATTTTCAGTTGTAATCTGATTCCAAATGATATATGCTACTCAGAATATGAAAAACAAATTCAGGTTTTCCAAATTAATGTAGGGGCAGGATCAGTGGATTTTTTCTGATCTTGTCATGCTATTTAAAATATATACAAATTCCTTTATTTTAGAAACATAAGTATAAACATGAAGCTGCCCTTGTTATTTAAGAAAAGCATTGTAAAACTCCTGATTTATCATGCGTGGATGTGCTAGTGATACAAATTGAAAACTGTTCCGAAGGTTGTAGTTAATTCTAAGGCAAGAAGACACAAATAATTAGATCTAGTTTTATATAACCCACTCTTCTGGGACAGAGAGGGAAGTAGAATCATCCTGATATTTTTTCTATATTAAGTAGAATTAAAATTATGCAGGTGTGAGTCAAAATATCGTTATATTTTGCTGGGATAATGATTTACTCATGTCGTAATTTATTCATCCTGTACTTGAGAAACATTGAAATTTCTGCTTGGGGTCAATCATTTCTCCTAAAGCAGATTAATAGAAGCCAAATATTTTGCTTTATAGATCACAATTGACCTTCTGGTTTTGTGCAAACTGAATCCTTTGAAAACTAATGAAAACATTGTTCCAAGTGCCTATTTGTCTGTATGTGTGTGTGGTTTCTGTATGAGTGTTTAATGTTATACTTGAAAGATGAAAAGAACTATGGCTAGTAATAAACTTTATTTAGAAATTTAGGGAAAACTTTATACAGAATATATAATAGCTATTATTTGTTGTTGTTGTGAGGCAAGTATTAAATTAACTACAATTATCTTACAGTAGTTACAATAGTTATACTAGTAGCTACAGTAGTTATACAGTTAGCTAGAATAATGTAAATAGAGTTCAGATGACAAATATTTTTGAAATTCCTGCACACCTTTGAACACATCACAGCCATTATATGTGCATACTTGTACATATACATTTGTCTGGCTTCACAGTCTTCAATTCTGCACCTCAGTCTTGAGTAAGGACTTGTATTTGCATGTTGCCACAGATGTGTATTAGGTCACTGTAGTCATTGTTCTCTGGTGCCCACTTTGCACCTCTTGTGCAGGTTACTAGCTTGGGAATAGCAGTGACCCAGCAACTGCTGTAAAAAAGTTCATTTCACAGCCCAAGATGGCAGTGGCAGTACCATGAGAGGAATGGAGCTTTTAATGTACATGTGCTTTTAATCTTGTGTACATCTGAGTCAGAGGCCTGAAATTACCAGCTGAAGGACTGGTTTTTCTGCTTGCTTTGTCATAGGAAAATGTGCTGGATAGAAAACCCTCTGTTTTGGAGGAGAAAGGTAGCAACTCCAAGTTTATGGCTATTTAAAGAAATAGGTAGATTATGTATGAAAGTCTTTGTGTGTTCATCAGCTATGAAGGAATTTAAGTCTTCTGTCTGAACAGTATTGTGTAGAAGTTCTTATGGTCATTTAAATGCTGAGTGGAAATGGTTTTGTTTGCTTGCTTGCCTTTTAGAAAAAGAACATAAAATGTTACAAAACTTTGTTCCTTGTTAAAACTTTTGCATTACCTGATATGCTCCGTAACATATATAGTGAAATTAAGTTCACAGTAAGCATCTCCTTGGTTTTTTAAGTCTGACATGACTTCATGGGGACATATTGGCATGCTTGTCTGTTAGAAGTTTTATGGAGTTTTCTTGGTGAAAAAAACAAGAGTTCTGCTTCACTGAGTCTCCATATTTCAGGTACTAAGTATGTAACGCAGGTAATAGAATTGTCTATAGACTGCTGCTGTATGTGTTTTCTTTTCAGATCAATATTTTAAAAATATTAAAGAAAAACTAAAGAAAAATGGAATCATCCTCAGAAATGAATTAAAAAATTTGCTGCATTTATGTCAGAATTCATCTGATGTGGAACTAGCCAGAAAAATTATTTACAGGTATTTTTAACAATCCATGAAACTCTCTTTTCTGTTTTTATCTTTTTGCTTTTATTAGATCATCTTAGGCTATGTCTGCAGTTGAGGTCTTGCCCTAATTGCAAAATGCATAGTTAATCCCTTTATTTAAGGCTGTATTTTTATTTAAATACTTTGGATCTTCCAACCCTTTAGAGACTCTCAAGTCAAAGGAGAGTTAATCTATGGGAGCAAAGTGGTGTCCAGAGAGAAAAATGATGTATGGTGAACCAGAGAGAAAAATTATCCCACAGCTGCAAGGCAGAGGTGTTCTGGGGCATTCCAGCCAAGACATGCGTGGTTATAAACTGCCCTGCAACCAGTAGTCAGCAGCAAAAGGTTTTGTGAATGGAAATTTTCCTAGTAAGTATGATATAGGGACTTAAAGAAAAAAGTGAAATGCTTTATCTTTAAAGTTTAGCACTTACTGCTGCTAAAATAAACTGCTGCCACTTCCTTTGCAGTTGTTCCATGAATAGAAGGTGAAGTAGCTTGGAATTTTCAAGGCAGAGACCCATTCTATTATTTATTCAATGGAGGTTACTTTATTGGTATAAAAGAGATTATTTATTTCCCGTTAATTTATTTGTTTGATCAAAACAATAATTTTCCTTGAAATTTATTTCCTGTTATCTATGTATCTTTGGCTGCTGCAGCTAGAAAAGTGTGCCTCAGTCATTGCACCTACAGATCTTGCTGTATATTTAAAGCTGTTCTCCCTTGGCAAATTCCATGCCCTGTGTGATTAATTTTTTAATCTTTCCCATAGGTACCATGAACAGAATAGAATCACAGCCTTACATAATTTTAAATTTGGGCCACTCTTTATGAGACTGTGTTATGAGCTAGACCTTGAAAGACCTGCAGTAGAGCTTATCAAAGATCAGGTAATTCCCCTGTATATATAGTAAAAATATTGTTGATCTTATTATTTGTCATATATGAGTAATGGTATGGTACACATGAGTCTTGCATGAGCTGATAGACTTGAAGATGTGTTGCAGTAACAGAGATATCTATGACATTAATTTAGGTGTGCAGGTTACATGTTTTTTTATGTTAGCATAGTAATTAAATGTTTGTTTGATTGGTAACTTTATTTCTGTATAACTGCATCATTTGAATAAAATTTAAATTTAAAGTATTGATAAAAGAATAATTACTTAAATGAATACAGCTGATGCATGTTTTCCTGTATCATGTGTTGCGTTAAATCATTCTTGGAAATGAGCACTTTTAAGTTTTTCTATGGTAGTCCTCTGAAATTCCTTGGATTACTTGCACTAACAGGTTCATCCTGTTGCTCTGTACTTCAGTCTCTCTCTGAACACTATAGGGGTGGTATGATACTCATCAGCTTAGAAATTTGGCCATTTTAGTGCTGAAGGAACTGAAGGACTTGTTTCTGAGCATTTCTAAAATTCTGTGTGCGCTATTATGCAAGATAATAATCAGGCCCAGTGCGTGCAATAATGTTGTGACTTCAAAAATCTCTGGCAGCCAATGAAAATCTCACTGATATTAATTCATTAAGGCATGAGATATGTCTAGCCAGAAGTGGGAGAAGCATTGCTACTATTCTTAAGTTAGGCATGTATAAGAAAGCATATATGTAGTTTCTATTATGGTTTGAGTTTTTTTAATTGAGATCTAGATCATTAAGACAGGAACTGCTGTACTTATAGTACATAGTAAGTGGTAGATACAGTTTGAGTACCACTTCCCCAGATTCTGCTACAGAAACTCAATACCTCTGATATATTTTGTCTATTCCCAACACACAGTGTTGGGAATAAAATTTATTTCCTTTCTCTTCTGATACTGTTACCATCATCACTATTGCTCTTATACTGATCATTTGATATTGTGATTAGCAAAAATTCATTCCATTTCATGGTGGTGGTACTTCACTCCAAAAGACACTGTTCATCAGCTGCAAACTATCAGTGATTTCTGCTTCCATTGACTTAGAGGTCATTTAAAAAAATAGGATAGTGGGACTCTCTGGGAATTTTCTGTTTAATTTTAGTGAGCTTTTGACCATAATGAGTCACTGGTATTTTAGACATCATTTGACAGAGAGACAGACAGGCAAGGAACCCAGAGAGTTAAATGCTGAACTTGTAAAATCAGACTTATTCCAGTAGGAAGACCTGTTAAATGCTGTGCACAGTAAGACTCTTCACTGTCCTGATTTTTTTATGCTTGCTCTATTTCCTCTCCAGAATTTGCATGGTTTTTTCTCAGACAGTACATCATTCCATATTTTGATGACTATGTTGTTTAAAAAGGGCCATTTTGAAAGTAAGTACTGTATTTGCTAAGGGAAATTAATTTTGGGGAGGATGCTTCTCACTGTAAGTGGTGCATGTGTGTATGTATATATATATATATATATATATATATATATTTAGGCTGATTTGTTATGGTTGTAAATGGCCAAACATCATGCAAATAACTGATGTGAATGTGTTGCATTGTAGTGTGTAATAAAAATGGAAGAGTCTATTTGTTTCATATTCCCCACAGAATTTTTGCCATTTAAGTGCTACAGAACTGCTGTTATCCAAGAGAGCTTTTTCCCCCAAACCCTCTTCACTGAACTGTTACTTTTCTTTACTTTGTTATTTCCCATAGCATTTTTTCTTCTCTGTTGAAAACCTGGTGTCTGTGCCTGAAAACCTGTGCCTTTGGAACGTTAATTTCCTCACCGATTTTTTTTCTCCATTCTGCATTTGTGTCAGAGCAAGGAAGAGTACCTTTTTACTTGTGTCCTCCCTCAGAGTGGCTACTGCAGTGTAGAAGTCCAATGCTTCAAATCAGTTTGGCCCTGTATGAAGACAAGGAGAAATCATCTGACCTAACTTAAAAGACTTCCCTTGAGAAAACCTTAAAGCTTTTCAAGCAAATCCCTTTATTTGATATTTGTTGAACACATAACAGCTGGTCTCTTAACATTTGGCAAATTTGAGTCCAGCAGTTGTCCTAAAAGTTGCAACTTGGCCACTGCAAAAGAAACCTAGGTCAGCGCCTAAACACAGAACCAGAGGATACAGTCTTAAGCTCCACCAAGGGAAATAGAGATTGGATATCAGGAAAAAAGTTTTTACAGAATGGGTGGTAAAGTATTGGAATGGTTTGCCAAGGGAGGTGGTGGAGTCACCGTACCTGGGTGGGTTTAAAAAAGGATTGGATGTGGCACTTGGTGCCATGGTCTAGTTGAGGTCTTAGGGCTGGGTTGGACTCAATGAACTTGAAAGTCTCTTCCAACCTTGTGATTCTGTGATTCAGCATTGTGAAATGGACCATGTGACTTAATGAGGAGATGCTATGTAGTTTGTCTACAGTGGTGGAAGCTTTCTGGGCAGTTAGGAACAATGAGAGTGGCTTTTTCAGGTGTATAGAATTTAGTTTTAGATTTTCATGTAAAAATAATGGAGGAATAAGGCCATGTGCTAGTGTAAACTGAAAACCTCCTTGCTAAATTGGAAGAGGTCCAAATGACATTAAACTTTTTGAATTCTTTAAATAACAAATTTCAGTTTGCATTCATATTTTCAAATAAACTTATTGAACTCATACCTTATTGACTTGTTTCTTCTTTTCAGTTATGAGAGGTACAGCCTTAAATATATGAAGTGAGTAACACTAATATATTTTTGATAGGTGCTTTGGAAGTTCTAGTCGAAATGAAAAAACAAAGTATACCTTTCAACAAAGAAACCTATCTACTTGCAGTTGCAATATGCTATAAACTGGTAAGTATTATGAATGAAGAAGTGTTTGAAATGCCTTCTCTGTCTCTCCCTTTAGATTTTAAATTTTGGATGTTTTTGGGTTTCCATAATTTCCCTGTCATGATTTTGTATCTAGTGCAAGTATTTTAAACTTATATATGTGAGTCCTAAGGTGCTTCATTGTACGTGATATGGTGCACATACATTGTTTCCCATACAAACTAATGTGACAAAGCAAATCTCTAAAAAGTTGCATGGACATGAGCATTAAGAAACAAATCTAGTGCAGCCTTTGATTACCTTAGAGTATTCTTTCTCTGTGATGTTTGCCTCTCTTCAGTACGCTGTGCTTCAGCCTCAGTATTGGTTTTATAGTCTCGTTTCCTTAAGGCATATACATGACATGTTCTATTTGCCAGACATCCCCCATCCATTTCTCCCCTCCCCCTACAAGCAGTCTTGTAATTTCATTTTGTAATTGTACACAAATTTGGCAGAATTGTAATCTGTTCCCTACACGCCTGATGAAAAGGGACATCTGAATGGAGAAAATAAGCATAAATGAATGCCTTTAGGTAAACAGACAGCCCCTTGAGCTTACCTGTATGTTTAGCTCAAAGAAAAAGAGCATGAGCTTGGTAAGAAGCTAGAATACATCAGTTATATGAGTGTTTTCTTAGAACTGTTTCCCTTTCATAGCAAAGGGAGATCCCAGAACTTTTTTATTTTGATCTTCCTCTCCAGGTTTGAGTCAGTTCTGCAATACTCTTTTCCAGACCCCTCTCTGGGTCAGGAAAAGGGTATTGAAATTTTAATATGAATCTTTCCCAAACTTGTTTGGAAACTCTTCTTCCATTTCCTCATCTTTTATAAAGACACTAGCTGGGGAAAAAATTACACCAGTAGACTAAACTTCCTCAGGTTTCTCAGTTAACCATAAAAGGAAACTGAGTGCAAATGTGATAACAAGGACATAGCCTAAAAAGGTACCTCAGCAGCAGTTTATGTGGTTTTTCTGAAATTCTCAGTTCCAATAAATTTAAGCTGCCTTTAGGTCTGTTGTAGCTTCTTTCCTAAAATGTTTGCAAGTTTTTTAACATGGCCTGCAGTTAGAATGCTGGATCCAAGGTATGTCCTACAGGAATAGGTTCCCAAGGCTTCTTTTTCTTCTACTTCTGGCCCTACATGTATTTTTAACAGAGAATCTGGCCCATTATTACTATTGATGAAAAGAGAGGGGGAGATGATTCTACTCTGTCACCTGGTTGGGTTGAATAGTCACAATAAATTTGTGGGGCTTTTTCACTAAGATAAAATACTATCAATAGGGAAGTAAGCTGTAGTAACCCTTTATGCACTAAATAGGATTAGGTGGAGCTCTTTTAAAAGCTTAATCTATTGACTCATCTCTTAGCAGGAGGAGGAAAAAGGTGAAGCTCAAACTTGCTTTTTCTCATGACACAAGATAAAGCATGTCAGAAAAAATCTTGAAATTAAGTGTCTTCAAGATGTCGTACTCAAATAATATAAATAACAGTATTGGTATCATTAAAAGCGTTGCTGGATTTTTACCATTCTTGGTTTCTTTTGAATAACCTTGCCAGAGACCAGTACAGAAGAATGTCCAAGGCTTAAACTCAGATTATTTCCAGTGGATAAACAGAGGAATTAATGTTTAATCTTTGCACAAAGGTATTTTTGAGGTCAGCTCTGAAACACTTCTGGGATGGTTTAAGTCTCTGTAAGGCACTGCCGTACTGTGAGGTAATAGCAGGAAAGAACTATAGGCCTTTTGATGATAACAAAGTATTTATGTAATAACAATCAATCTTCTGGTGATCAAAATGTTTCTGAATTTTCAAGGAACATATTTTGAACCATATTTTGCAGGAAGACACTATGAATACTAGCAACAGAAATCAACACCAAATCTGAGGACTCTTATCCATATTGGTGGTACCAATTGTTACCAAATGTTCCTGCTGCCAGCTTTTAGGTTTGACAGATAGTATTTTATTTGGGGTCCAGTCAGTTCCACTTGTGATTTCCACTCTCTATTGTTTTGGAGAGTCGACAGTTTGAGAGGTAGCACCCAGCTTAACTCATTGCCATTTAGTATCGACTGTTGAAAATTCCCAACCATAATGGAAGCCTTCTGTGTTGGAAAAAGGCAGATGTCTAAGCTGTAATATTAGAATATATACTTTGGAAGCATTTTTCAAGAATTAATCCTTAAGAGAGGCTCAAAATGGCTAAATGTTCAAATTCATTAGATTTCTTTAGTGGAATGGTACTTAACAGTTCAAGCTTAGAAAATGTTGATTTTGAGTAACTATGTAATGTAGCTTTTATAATTAAGTAACAACAAAAATTAATATTTCTTCCTGATTTAGAAGTTATTTGAAGGTGAAAATGAAACTATCTATTTGTTTAGGATGCTGCTGGGGCTGTTTCATCTGTTGCAGAAGCCCAAGTAGTTAGGGCAAGGTGTAGTTGTTAAAATAACAGAAGTTACTTTTACCCTCCTGTGACCTCTGTCACTTTTGAATATCATGTTTTTATGCTGTGTTTCTCAAAAAGAGCTGCACAGAATCTGCTTGGTTGGGTTCAGATACATAGTGCCTTTGTGGTTGTACAGTATATTGACTTCTGAATACTTTCTGAATATGATGGCAGGTGCTTATAGTTCTTTCAGGTAACTATGAAAACAAGCACAACTTCCTGTGATATTTCTATGCAGGGCAGTCCAGAGTCTTCCAAAATCTCTGCGAGACTGCTTGAAGAAGCGCAGCTAAAAGGTGACACGTTGCCACTGCGAGCATACTGCTTTGCAATGGCAGCTGCTCTCAAGCAGGTATGGTGTCTTTGTTTTCAGTTGTGCCTGGGGCTCTGTAGAGAGATACTCTGTAGTTGTAGACAGGTTGTGAAAGGAAGCTAACATGGAGAAAGCATAACTATGTAATAGCTTCAAGTATTGGAACTTTAATCTCCTGAATTAGTAGGATTGTACAAATTGAATATGGAAGTTTCTAAATACAAACATATGTCTTGAGTGTGATGCACACATATTTTGTGATAATACTATTTAGAACATTAAAAAATTATAGAGTTAAGCCAACAGGTTAGGTGTCACCATGGATCTAGTCCTGCAGATACTGCTACTTAGTGGTGATTTCCATTAAATAGAATTAAGATGATAATTTAAAGTATTTGTGCAGTCATCTCTTTTAAATTATTGTCTTGGGAGGCAGACTCAAAGGCTTTGATATATATTTCACTACTGCCAGGGAGGGGGAATTTCTCCACAATATGTTTCTGCCTGGTGAAGTTTTGCTTTATCTGATATGCCTAAGTACTGGTATGAAGAGGCTCTGACACAGCACAGGGTGAAAAGTGAAGCAGAAGAATAACTATTAGGAAATTCTAAAGTTTGGAAAACAGTTTGGATTTCCTCTGCCATTAATTTGTGTATGCAGGTTGGGTATGTCATGATCCTTCTCTGTTTCATGTTAAAAAAGAGGTTAGAGACACTGGAAGTGCTATAAATTTGGTCTTCTTACAAATTTGGATGAATGGAGTAGAATTGTTAAAAGTTTCTCTGCACTCTGTGGTCTTTTTTGCTCTGTCTATGTGAATGGAGACACTGAAAAATAGCATCATTGAAATAAATTTATTCATGGGTACAATGGAATGATAATATTCTTGTTTTGCAAATGGAATAATGCTCCGCATTACATTAATTGTTCTTAAGGCTGAATGAATTTTGACAGCACTCTTTGCTATAAGAAAGATGTTTCTTGAACCCAAGTAACATTGCTTGGTTTGGTAAATGTCAGTGTAACATTTAATGTCCATTCAAATCAGTTGATGACATAGATACAGTATTGTAAATATGCATGTCCAAAAGGTTAGAAGGGCTGGACAGGGTGAATACACAGAGTAACATATGCTGCACTTCATTACTCTGACGTGTGTTGAACTGAGCATGTGTGTAAACCTTCCTTCCTTTAGGTGATCTCATGCTCAGTGGTGGTTACATGTGACAGACACACACAGTACTAAAGAGCCAGATGACATGGGAACTCCAGTGTGGGGTATTCCTTTTGCAGACTGGGTGCTGTTTGGTGTCTATGGGTCTTGGTAAAGGGGTTCTGGATGTGATTTATTGAAGAGTTGTTAAGGACTGTTGTTTTTCTGTCATTGTGCAAGTTTCTGACTCATGTGTGACTATTTTTATATTATTTATGATTCCTTCCCAGAACGATGTAGCACAAGCCAAATTTTACTGTTCCCAGATAATGAGAACAGAGAACAAACTATACAATAATCTTAAAGTAAGTATGCTTGCCTTGTATTAAAATTTTGCAGAGTATGCTACACTGGCCAATAAACTCCCCAGTGCAAAGTAATTGAAGACCAGCCTCTTACTAGCACAGGCATATGTTGGTAATGTTGCTGAGCTTGTTTTTGAGCCAATAAATTTCTGTCAGTTGGATGACTTACATTCTGAGCTGTTAACAATCTCCACCCACTTTTTAAAATCACTTCCTGCCATAGGTGGGAATGTAAAGTAGACCAATCCTATATGTGTGAGCATAGACCCATGAACAACTTCTAGCTATGATTTTTGCTTTCTAGTTCCAAAAGATTTTAAAAACCCAGCTCTAAGTAAATGCACTGCCCAGTTTAGGTCTCCTTCAGCCCTGCACACCATATCCACATATGTACATACAACAATTTTTTTTCTTTAGTTGTGCAGTCTACAATCTGAGAGAAAGTCTGCATGTGCATGTGTAAGTGACCTCTAAACTATGGTAAAAACCACTTTATTCAAGAGCAGGTTGTGCACCTCCATCAGAGGAGCTCTGCCTCAAGCCTCACCCTTCCTTTCCAGGTCTCACCTGGTAAAAAACCCCAAACATTTGAAGAAATTGATCATTCCATCTCTTTCTTTGCAACGGATGGATTTTTCTCAGTGCACTGTCTGGAACTGAATTTTACCCAGCTTTGCTTCATGTCTTCCTCAAATACTTCTGTAAAAATTTGCATTCTTATGATATGTACTGTTTGTGTGGTTTGTTCTTATTTTATTTTTAAGGTCCTTGTCCAGCTCAGATCTGGTTTGTTAAAAGAAGTAATAAATACATTAGAGGCAGCAGTGGAAGTAGATACACCTCCCTTTGTGAAAAGAACTGAGTTTTCAGAGCAGGTGGTAAGTATACAGTGATGAAAGAAGGTTCATGGTACTGAACTGAGCCATGACAGTGGTGGCTCACCTACAGAACTTCAGGTGCCTGAGTTCACCCTGCTCTAGTTGTTTGGGTTCTGGTGCATGCCGAGGCCAAAGCAGCTGGCTGGCTTCCTCTGCTCTTGATCAAAACACTTAGCTGTTAGCTTCATTTTTTATTTTGGATCTTGCTTCTAGAAGCTCATGTTTGATCTGAATGGAGGTGACACTTTCCCTGGTGGCGTTAAATGATCTAATCCCTTGCCTCCTATGCTATTTTCATTTCATGTGAAATGAGAATAAAATTTCTGGTAACAGTGATATTGTTATGTTGGTGACACATGAAAGACCTATAATGCCATAAAGGGAAGTGTGATAAGGGAAACAGTAGCTTTGCTATTTAACTGTATGTTACTGTGAAAACTGGTTTTTACAGCCTTGAACAGTAAGAAGGCTTCCTCCAGAACACATATGAAGCCCTTCTCAGTTTGTCAGCATTTCTGCTGCTTTTCCCAAAGCTTTCTAAGTATTTAATTTTGGATATGCCTATAGAGCAAGACATTTTTAGACTGTGTTAATAATTAAATACTTAGTCTTTCATTGCTGTGTATTAAACAAAAGTAATAACTAAGTGCAAAATAATAAATATTAGGAGAAGGGGAGGGCCAGCCTTTCAAAACATAGCCCGTATAGATTATCTGCTTTGTTGAAAAGAAATTCTTTAAGCAGCATTTTGTTTTGTAAAGTCGTTGCAATAAACATTGCATGGTTAGTGTTGTATTTTGACTTTGCAAAATTTTTAGCTGCCAAAAAAAGCCTAAGCATTAATCCTAGCTGCCCCCTTCCACAAGAGTTTATTGATAATAATATTTTTTAAGGGATTTACCTAACACTTGAGCTCATACTCTTGTGTATGGCAAACAGAATTTCTCAGTCTTCTATAGTCTGAATTTTATGGATTTGTACTGTACTGTGCATTTACGAAGATACATCATAATAATTAAAATTGTGCTGATCTGGAAAGTAGATTCCAGGAAGCAATTATGTTTCCTGGATTTAAATAGAAGATAATTGTGTTTGTCTGTACTAGGACTCAAAATATGATTGTACAACTCTGAGGAAGTTTTAAATCTAATAAACTGTCTTTAATAGATAACCAGTGCCTGTCCACCATTTTGTGGTGATGCATAATGTACTTTTCGTAAAATCATCATCTTATGAGTCGTTGCCTTAGCCACCTATCTTACACTGTGTGCCTTTTTTTTTACTGTGAGTTACTGCTTTTCTTCAGTGTGGTGGTAGAATGAGAGCTCCACTTGCTGAACTGTAACAATATGTCATTTTCTCTTCCTTAGCTGGCTACAGTCAGGGAAAAGATGGAAGAGAGCCCTGACCTTTCTGTCAAATTAGGAGATATTTATACGAAACTACAAGCTTCAGGACAGATAACCATGTGCACACTGGAAGACATGCTTTTCCAGATTCCTAGTTCAAAGAAGACCACTGCAAAACTTTTAAATCAGAAGCAATTGGGCTGTCAGGGTACTAATCCACTTTGGTCAAATCTGTTGTTAGGATAGCTCAGTATTTGATGCCAAACTGAACTGCTGATAGTATCTCTTATAATCCAGGTTCAAATAAAATGTCTTTTCCCTTTCTACACAGTGGGAGTTTTAAGTTGTTTGTATAAAATTTCATTTTAAATACTGATCATGTAGCTTCCATGTTTCAGTTTTGATCCTAAAAACAAGCTGCAACAGTGGGTATTTGTGTGTTGTTCAGAAATGGGAGTGATAGAAAGATTTGACTTTTTCCTTAGGCTTTTGTATCAGGATTTTCCTATGCTAAATATTTTGGAAGTGAATGGATGGAAATGAGCAAAGCAAGCAAAATGGTATGAGTATCTGACTTGACTTCTGTGGTTCATGAGAAGAAAATTTGGTCTTCATCAACGTAAATGTTCTGACTAAAAGGATAGAGGCAGGCAAGAGTCCAGAGCATGGAAGTGCTTGAACTGTTAACTCAAAGTCCGTAGATCTCAAGAGAATCAGGGGGAAGCATGCATCTTTTGTTCACTTTAATATCTTTTTATTCTAAAGAAATATATTAGCATTTTTTTCCTATCAACTGGGATCATGGAAATGCCATGGGAATTCACATGGTAACCAATGGGTTGTTTTCTCCCTTGAAGGAGTTTCCTGATCAAAAGTCACTCTCAAGAGTGAGTGACTGCACAAATTGCTTTCTTCTAATTTTTCTGGTATTAAGATTCCTAGGATAAGCCGATCTTGATGCAAATTTCCAACTAATTCATAAAAAGTTTTTAGAGCAGTTACGATCACATTTTTAGCTATAATTACACCATCTGCATAGTTTACCCTATTTTTGGATTGGAAAAAAGGTACAAAGAAGCCTTTCTTTGTCCAGCTTTAATGACTCTAGATCAAATGTGCTGGACTCTAGCGTTAAAAAGCTGTTTGTGTATCCTGTGTATCCAAGAATCTGAACTTACCCACCATCCAGAATAGAAGGAATTGGAAACAGATATGCCTTGGCTAACATTCATGTGCCTTTGGGTGCCTTTGCATGTGAAGTGATGAACACATTGATAAAAGAACTTGGCAGCCTTGTGAACTGACAACTAGGAGGAACTCAGCTTGATACTTGCCAACTTGGGCTGCATTAGCTCTCCTCTACCTTCTGTTTTTTATTTTGTCTCTGCTTCACTCAAGCAAAAGTCATGGCTCAGAGTATATTTTCTGTGAATAAATATCTTCATCTGTATCACTGAAGCCATTGAGACACCGAAGAAACAAGAACCCATCCATGCTTCAAAACAAATGTGGCTTCAGGCTGTGGGATGGTGCCTTCTGAAGCTCTAGCTCTGAAACTTATTTCTTTTGTCACAGTGTGTCTTGTTAATATTTAAAATGTACAAAAACTGCTACAAAGTAGATGGAATTTCATGCAAGTGAAGAATAATATGAAGTGTGTATCACACTTCTGTGAATTGTGTGTACCCTTTTTATGATTGGTGGCATAAAGTACTGCATACATTAATCTAAAAACACAGCTATTACTTTTTCTGTAATATTGTGTAGTATGTAATTCCACATGTAGTTTCCTTTCATTGAAAATTCATTCACCAGATGTAACCCTTGAGAAGTTCTCAATCTTTTCTCCACAAATAAATTTAATATGATATTTGTAAAGACTGCTTGCAGTGTAGCAAGGATTAATGGTAAAAAATTTAATTACTGTTCAGTTTACTCTGTATGGACAAGAAAACTGTCTGGTGTCATCCGGTACAACTGGGACAGCTGTTGTGTTGAAAGTGTATAAATGCCACATTTTTAAAGACAGTGTGACCCATTTAGCTCTGCATAGCAAATAAATAAGGTCAGTTCTGTTTAATTTCCTAACTTGGCACTTTAAAACTTGTATTAATTGCAAGAAGTTGTAACGTCCTAGGACTGTGCATGTGTACTTGTTCATTCCAATTGTTTAGTGTCCTAACTAAGGCTGTATCCTACCTGCAACTGGAGTAATCATAACTTCTATTAAAATTGTCAAAATATTTGATGTTTTCCTTTTTTTTTCTCTTGACTACTTGTTTTCTTGAGATTCTTGTTTTCTTGGGGTTTATTTGTAAGTTGATTTTTTTTTTTAGAGAAATAACATCTTTGTCTTGAAAAAGAAAGGAGATGCACCTATCAGAAGAAAAGGAAAGCAGGGACTTAAGGTTAAAGGATAGGTTCAAAGAAACACACACAAAATTCAGACAATTAACATTAGAATATTGACTGTTGCTTTAGAGGTGTTGTAGAAGACTGTTAACATTTTCCCTTAGGGAAAAAAAAAAAAGCTGGGAGACATAAGGTAGTTCTAATATTTATGCAGCTGGTTTCCAGCTAAATCTAATTTGTGTTATACAAATACCAGAGTCTGTAATTTGGGTAATCTTGGAATTGGGTGATTATTTATGGATTCATCTTTTGGTGCATCAAGATTCACACTAACTTTTGTGTTGAAGAGTCTTCAGTCTGATGCTTAGTTTAGTGTACTTAGGTGCAGTTGAATCCTGGTGTCCCAACACCCAGGATCAGGAACCCAAGCGTGTCTAAAGATAAGCAAATACTTAGGGGTTTTGCTGGATTAGCATGGCTGGAATGTCAAGGGCTAAGTTGCTAGACTGCTCTCATGGAGAAAGCCTCAGAAAATAGGATGAGTAAGAATTCCATTGTCACTGGAATTGATACTCAGTTTTATCAATGATGATAAAAGAAACCAAGATTCTTAAAATAAATTAATTTTTTTATTTTTTATTATTTTAAATAAATGCATTTATTTGTTTATTCATTTCTCTATTTATTATTAACAATTAATTTATTTTTAACAATCTGAAAAAAACCCCAAGGCATTTACATTTCAAAGTGAATTGCTGCATTTTTTTTCTCTAGGCTTCGCAGCAAGAGATTCTGTAGGAAGTGCTGCTTAGCATTTTATGTGTTGTAAGTAGCTATGGTGAGGATCTGAGAGCTCTTTGGGGTATTCTTGTGTGGAAAAGGATTGCTCTTTATCATACTCAGATGTTCTTCCTCCAGTAAAATGAAACGTGGATTTTGTGCATCTCCTTGCACTGCAGCAGCCTTTTGGAATAGTGATCCAGGAGACAGCAGGTGGCGTTTCTTGACCATACTCTCCTGCCAACCTTATTTCCAGGGATGGCCTGCAGTGCCACTTATGTAAGGCCAAAGCAGAATAAATTGTTTGCCCTATATTTAGCATGTACCATCTTAAAATGGAAAACTCAGACAACAGAAAACTGCCTCGAATTGTTAGTAATGGTTGGCGATGAGTGCAAACCTAGAGATTTACAAGCACTTACTTTGAAATTTACAGCATTTATTGAAATGTGATCTTTGTCAATGATCACAGTACAGTGTGTACAGTATTCTGTGGAAATCCTAATAAAAGACCTGTTAATGTTGTTTCTTGTACACCAATGACAACTTTAAGTTCTTGCATTGGTATACCTTTAATGTTGGTCCCCTTTTCTTAGTTGAATTTTAAAAGCATTCATTTTTACGTTCAAATAGGATCTGGATTGCATGCAGTCTTCAAAGGACTGACATTCCTCTGCTGTAGATGCTTCTGCATTTCTCCCTGTTTGTTGTTTTTCATATTTCTTTCCACAAACATCTTGAGTCTTGGTGAGAAAGGTTCACATCTTTTGAGCTTCTCTCAAGTTAATTTTCTTGTTCAACACAGTAAAAAGGAAGGTGAAAAAGGGTTAGTCATTGCAGGAGAGCTCAGGAATGTTTTCAGGCCTCAAGAAGAGCATTCGCATATTTAATGAACCTTCTAAACAAGTTTAAATAACATGAAGCAAAGATTTGTTTGAAGTTTGCAGCAGTACAGAAAGCAGGCAGACCTACCATGCAGAGGTCTAAAGATACACAACTTTGTTTTTCTTTTGGGCTTTTTTTCAAGGTTGCTTCAGATTTCCATCCTTCTAAAAATTTTTGATTGTGAAATAAAGGCTTGTTTGTTTGTTTTTAAATTACATCTGTTGTGGCTCCTTGCCTGCCCTTCTACTGTCACATTCTCCTTAGAATAAGTTTTTAAAAGAAGATGTCATTCAACACCTTCATCTTCTGTTTCTTTTAACCTGCTGCTTATTTACAGCACGTTGAACTCAGCAAATGTCTGGTTGCCTACTTGCAGACTACTTTTTAAGTAATTTCATTTTCGTGTGAATGATAAATTTAAGCAGCAAGATGAACTAGGGAGACTTAAAACTGCTACTCGTACTACTGGTCCAATGTTTTGTGATGTGAAGTATAGTGCTATTTTCTTACCTATTTTAGCTTGTGCTATTGAAGATGGCTGGCTGTGGACCTTCAGGGGCTTTTGTTGAGTCACAAACGCCACCTGCAGTTGTCTGGATCTCCTAATAATTCCAGCAGCATGTGCAGTAAAAACTGAGATAGTCTGACTTACCAACTCTCCAAGCAGAGATACTGGATTTTTCCAAGTACAGATGCTCTAACTGTAAACCCTTGTGTACCATCAAATAAAGTCAGCTTCGAAGTTCTTGTGCCAAGCAGGAACTCAAAATAAATGCAGGAGCACTGATGCAAGAGGGAAATTGGGTTTGGAACCATGCACAGAGATCAGGTGTATGGGATCAAAGTCAGCTGGGCCTGAACCTTGTGTCTGCATGAAAGGTAGAAGCCCTCTGTTCATTAGAGGAGACTCCTTCCGATGGAGATGGAGGCAGTAATCCAGCAGCTAGTCTGGAACGTGTGGAGGTGCTGCTCAGGCTTGTTTATCCTTTGGATTTTTACCCTTTGCCAGTCTTCCATGTGGGCACCTGAGAGCAACCTGGAGTGCATTAGGCATGGCTACACTTGAGAGGAGGGTAAAGGGCAGGTGGAACAGATAACGTCTCAGATGCTGACCAGGAGAGAGGGAAAAGTCCAAGTGGACTAAGCGTAACAGTGTGTCAAAGCATGGCTGGTTTCACAGACAGGCGTTTGGCTTCTGTGACCACAGTCACAGAGAGAACTGCTTGGGGTGTGCTTGACAAAGGGGGTCTTTGCAAACCAGCTTCCTAACCTAGTGAGGGTGGCTTTACATGAGGTATGCCAGGAAGGGTTACCTTAACATGGAGAGAACTGAGGGCACTAGAGAAAGGGCAGGTGAACGTGGCAAACAGCGTGACAGGGAAGCCTCTCTCACTTCCCTATAAAAGCAGTGCAACTTGGGACCCATCTGGAATGCTTGTACACTAATCTATGAGCATAAGGAATAAGCAGGAGGATTGTGTATACACAGCTGTAGATCTAAGACCTTGTTAGGGTTATGGTGGTGTGGTAGGATAGCTCTCATGACTATAGTGCTGCAGTGAAGGGATGCAGAAAAGACTGGGTGGGTAAGCATGGTAAAGAGGAGAGGTTAAGCTCTGTATAAAGCAGGTATGTGGATTTTGCCTTGGGACAGGTGATGAGTGAATAGTGAGCTTTTGGGTAAGGATCAGAGGACAGACAAGCACAGGGATACTTCAATGGTTGTCTGCTACATCCTGCCTGATGCTTCAATGGTTGTCTGCTACACGCCTGCACACATTGAAGCATTCTTTAAGCAGCTGGAGAAAGTCTCAGTTACAGACCTCGCTGGTTCCTCTCTGGATCTTAGTCACCCTGTTGGAAGGACAGCATAGCTGGACAAAATTAGTCTAGGAGATTTCTGAAATGTACTGAGGTATCTTAGTCCATGCGACATAGGAACGGGTAAGGGAAGATGCTGGTTTGAACCTGTGACTCTCAAATGTACAACAATTGCTGGATTGTGTAAAGGGCAGCATTGTTTGCTGCAGTGACAATGATTCTTGTGGAGTGAAGAGTGTGAAGTTTAAGATCCTGAGAGTGATGCAGATCCAAAACTTCAGAAGAGTAGGTTTTGGCATGTTCAGTGACTTACCTCCAAGTTCCTGTAGGAAACTGTTCTGGACGGAAAATGTCTGGGGTGATATGATTGATCTTCAGAGGCAACATTCTTAGAGCACTGGAATGATCTGTCTCAATGTGTATAAAGTCAAGCAAGCTGGCAAAGGGCCAGAAAGAATACAGAGATCCTGACTGAGCTTAAACACAAAAAAAAGATGCACACAGAAGATGGAAGTAGGATAGGTTACTGAGGAGGACTGCAAAGGCATTGCCTGTCCATTCAGAAATTAAGTCAGGAAAACCAAAGCTTAGTTGCACTTAAAATTAGCAAAGAATGTGAAGGATGGCAAGAAAGGTTTTTTCTGAGGATATTGTCAGCAAAAGAAGGCTTGAGGAGATTGTGGCCCTACTGGTCAGTGGGACGGGGAACTAGTGAAAAATGACAGGGAGAAGACTGAGGCACTCTGCCTTTTTGCCACCACTTGGCAGAGGAAAAGATGCTGAGACAAATTGGTTTGCTCAGCCTTAAGAAGAGAAGGCTTAGAGAAAACCTTATTCCTGTCTACAGCATCCTGATCAGATGACAAAGAGATGGTGGAGTGAGACTGTTCTCAGAAATGCATTGGGCACAATGGCCACAAGTTGAAACAGGACATTCTGGTCAGGTACTGGAATAAAAGTTACCATGAAGGAGATCAAATACTGAAAGAGTTTACCCAAAGAGGATGTAAAAATCTCTATTCTTGGAGGCCTTCAAGAGT